TTCGAATTTCTATTTAAAAAATAAATTTCGAATAAATTTTAGAATAATCTCGATATAATATTGGAAATCCAATTGACATCAGAGATCCTCACGTGCCGTCGAATTCGTTGCGCATTTGTTCGAGCACTTGGGGTCGATGGACGCACTCGATGCACTCCATACTGCTCAGTTTGATTGACAAACGATGTTCGATTTAGAATTTCGATTCGTTTATTCTCTGCTAATTTCGATGAATATTCGGGTGGAAATTTTCGAAATTCGTAATAAATTGTATTCGACATAAATTCGTTCGAAAATTGCGAAAATTTTAGGTTATGGATATTTTTGCAAACATCAGATTTGCGGATCCATAGATGTGTAGATTTTTAGATTCGCAGAATTCCATAACTTTCTTCACATTCTTAAATTCTATATAGATCAGATTATTGGAAAATTTTGGTCGATGGTGTACATCATTACGTGCATTACGTCCTTTTGCTGTCGATCATTTATGAAATTTTCAATTTCACCGAACATGGTAACTGATTTTGGATTGAAATTACTGCAGATGGAGAGAATAGGTCGTTTATTGGCGAGATATAAAATAAATATGATAACAACCACGTGATTCATCGATTTCGTCCACTAATTGAAATATCGTATCAATCTCGGTATATTTCCGAAATTTAAACATTTATTTTTCTCGATAATTCCAATACCAAGAACAGAATCACGATATTTTCAATACATAGCACCAAAAAACGATTTCTATTGAAAATTTATAAATTTCATTCCATTTAAAAATTTCCCTCCTATAATTTTATTAATTTTATTAGTAATTTTATTCTCCGTACTTACAAAACAATTTTCATTAAAAAATAAAAATTTCATCTCTCTTCAACAATAATTCAAACTTTAAAAATTCGTAATATTTTTCTAAACTTTATTAAACAACACGAAGATACTTTTCGCTCGAGTCTGTATTTTCTCTGATAAGAAAAAAAAAAGAAAAAAAAAGAGAGAGAAGAAAAAGAAAATAACCTTTCGAAAAGTATAAGGCGCGCGTAAAAATTGTTCCAGCGCCGGAAGTGTTATCAAAGTTTTTCGATCAAGAAACCACGACTTGTTTTTAACCACGATTTAATGTTCCATGAAAGGCGAGTCGGGATTAAAACAGGATCGTGTCGATTTTTACAAGAGTTATCCCTTCAACGCGAGAGTTTCGTTATTTCTTTCCAACTTGGCGTGATAAAAACGCCATCTGTATGTAAAAACCTATCTTTTTGCCAACCGAGTCTAGTGATTTACGATCCTTGTACGAATTCGAGCACGGCCAACTATGGTGACACGTTTAAGTGATGTAATATCGTGATGTAATTTGTTGCATTTTTAATTGCGAGGTTAAATGGCTTGAATAACCGATAGAAGAAATTTTTGGCTTAATTTATTGGGTATGATTACAGCAGATTTTTTACATAATTTTCGATATACACTTCAACTCGTGAGTAGTGAAACATTTTTTTATCTTTAACAAAATATTTTAGTATAACTGTTGAAAAATTCTGAATTGCATTTAATATATTACTTTTAATATACCTTTACTTTTTTTATACTTTTTTGTTAAAATATCAGATTAGATTAGTTTAAGTAAATTAGAAAGGTTAATTTAGGTTAGGTTAAGTGAAGTAAGATTCTTTCATATTTTTTAATTTTGTCTTTAATTATTGTCAACTAACAATTTTTTAATTTGCAACAATTATTAGTATTATTAATAGTATTATTGAAATAAATAATTTTTTATTGTGTTAAACTATATTGTTAAAATAAATTTTATTTTTAAAATTATTTGATAGAATTTGATAGAAAAATTTGAAAAAATTCTAATTAAAATTATGATTCAGTTTTGTGCTATTTATGATAGAAGCAATATGTAGAAGGATTAGATTGTTAAAAATCCTACGATCTCGAGGTTTAAAATCAATCGTGATCGTGGCAAGACTCTTGGGATTCGACATTGACAGTTCCACTTCTGCTAAGCATATAATACTTAGTCTCAAGGGAGATTGCATCCATAAAGTTGAATTTGTGTTATCTGGTTCATAAAATTTCGAAGAATTCGAAATTCAACTTTAATATTAGAAAATTCGACAGATTTATATCTTTTCAAGTTTGCACTAGGATTGAACCAGATGTCACAAACTTTGCAAGACTTTTACACGTCGACGAGGTCTATGAAAACTTTCAAGAATTATCGGATATAAAAAATCTCGGCAATATTTTTTCCAAATATATTTTAATAGTAATTCAATAACAATTCTCAAACTATTGCCCAAAAAATATTTAATAGAATATTAAATAGAAGGATATTTCTTCTTACTTTTATGATATTATACGTGGTATAAATATTGATAGATTATATTCTGAATCACTTTATCATCACCCAAATAAGGATCTAAAAAAATTCAATATGTTAATGATACGTTATTTCCAATCAATAACAAAATTGAAACGTGTATACAAATAAAATAAGAAATATAAAAAAGTCAAAGTAGATTCGAATCATCTTCGTTCCTTGAACACCTGAAAGGAGAATAGAGAGAATAGAATGAGAAAAAGGACGGTGAACGAAGGAAAGCACTTACTTAGAAGGGACAAAGGAGAATTAATAGAGAGGACGTGAAATGAAAGAGTGGTGAAGTTGTACGAGTTCTACGATTTCATCGCTCGCAGCGGAAAGAAATTCGAATTGGAATAGGGAGGAAGATAAGTCTCGATAACGAGATTGATGGAACCTTGAAGAGAATTGTTCTATTTCTTCGAAATCGCGATCCCTTTTTTTTTCGAATCTTTATTTTCGGTTGACCACATAGCGGTTGATTCCAATTTATGATGAAACCGATTCAATCTTCTCGAGAAATTATTATCTTAATCTTTTATGGTGCGTAGATATAAATAAAATATGAATAAATAATTTCAGTGTAATATAATAACTCATAGATATATTAAAGGGGATATATTAAATCAGTCGATTCGAATCTACTTTGACTTTTTTGCATTTTTTATTTTATTTGTATACACACATTCCAATTTTTCTTGTTATTCATTGGAAATAACGTATCATTAACATATTGAGTTTTTTTAGAATTTTGAAGTTATTTAAATGATGATCAAGTGATTCAGAATATAATCTATCAATATTTATTAAAGTTACTATTATTTAAGTTTTACTAGGGATATAGTAATTATACTATATAATTATAAACTAATTAATTAAAATAATTTGTTATTTTTTTTATTTCAAATTTGATATGATAATTTAATATTAATCTATCAAAATATTTTTATTTAAATTAGGATACTAACTTTTTAGAGAAATTTTAGGGAAAATAAAAGTTCATAATGATATCATTTCAAATTAAATTTTAATTTATCAATTTCACAAAATATTTTTTTCAAAATATTATCTTTCACTATTATACATTATCAAGTTGAAAATTATTGCTATTTTTATTTCGATATTATCGAATCTATCATAAACTAAAAATCGTTTAAATGCAATGGGAAAACTTTATTCTAAATATTAATCAGAACCGTTATTGGAGTTTGTAAGTAGTATTTATAGTCTCGTTATCCAAATAGGTGATGGTTTCTACGTTACCAGGAGATAGAATCCCGCAATCAAGATCTCCTGTCCTGATAAAATGGACAGCATATGGGGAATAGCTGTCAGTTTCGTTTATATCGGAAAAAAAAAAAGGGAAAAAAGGAAGTAGATGTAGAATGACATTGTGAGACAATGATTCTTGATATATGGAATGCAAATTGACTATCGTGTTAGAGTAAAAATATAAATATATATATATAATTGCATATAAATATTACATTAAATATTGTGTAATGTTTTATGTAAAATTATATGGATGATCAAAAGTTTATCAAAAAAATAAAAATTTGTAATCAATTTCACAATGAATATTTATACAAATTAAAATTTGTATAAATATAAATGAAAATTTAATTAATGAAAATTGAATTAAAGATTTGGTTCACGATTTAAGAATAATATGTAGCTTGTTTTAAATATTTTTGTACTTTTATAGTCTAATAATCATTTATTACATATTATATAATATATAAGATTCGATATTTAAAAGACATAATAAAAATAGATAATATAAATATTATTTATATATAATTTATATATAATTTATATATATATTATATATATATTATATAATTTATATAATATTATATATTAATATAAATATTATATAATATAAATATATATTAATTAAATTAGAATTTTGTTATGTTAAAAAATTTTATCAACAAAAATTTAAAGAATTAAATTAAATTATTATCGATATTCGTAATATTAATTTTAAATTAATAATAAAATTAAAAAAGATTGGCCAATAGTATATATCAATAAATAAAAAACTTTCTTACTAAGAAAAAAAATAAAATAATTATATCGATGTAATAGTGTAACTGTAATATATTTCTTCTCCTTAATTTCTTACGTGTAACCGAACGAAAAGCCAACTAACGACTGGATTTAATACTACGCGACCTCAATCGTAATTTACTTAGAACGAGCAAAGTGGGGTTAATCCGCTCGAGCGTCTCTCAGTCACACTTCGACTTTCGTCGCGACAATACAAAATAAAAACATTCTCCAAACCGTACGCCGTATTACTTTATAAATCATCGTAAAATTTTCAAAACCATCAACGTTCTATCATTATTACATATAAAAATTGCATCAACAGGTATGTTTTTTCATTCTTAGAAACAAAAAATGCAATAGAAGTTCCATTATCTTCCATAACCTAATATTGTATGCTCCATTTTCTGAACTGCGCACTATCTATATTCTCAACAATGTAAACAGACACCTTTCTTTACCACACCACAATAGAATTTAATTCCAAATTGACATATATAATATATCGAACGCATATTTAATGTTAATTATCGAAAAATAAAATATTGAAATATACAATATTGGAAAATTCAAAATCAATTAAAAAGCAAAAATGTCGTGCAATTCGATCAATTTTTGTTACAAATAATCCCAATTTCGTTACAAACAATTCTATTATTTCTCTCGAACTATAATTCATCTAAAAAAAAAATCTATTATCCAGAAACTTTCTCGTTAATAAATTCGCCTGATAAAAGTTTTTAATAAAAGTACTTTAAAAAAAAGTTTCGTTTCACGATTACGCTTATACTTATTATCCATCCTTCATTCCTTCGAAATTACAGAAAGAAACACGCCTATTCCACCCAAACCTCCATCAAATTTCAAAGCATTAAAAAAGAGAAAAGAAAGCAAAAACTCTTGCTCGAAGAAAAGCCTTAAAGAACAAGAAGGAAAAAAAATAAACGTTTACTTAAAGAGGATCATCGGTGCGCTTCTTGCCGTCGGCCACGTCTTCACTTCTCTTCGTTCGCGTTTTTTCTTTCTT